TGCCACAGGAGGGAAGCACGACAGCTGGAATACTGCCATGTTGCCCAAGCCAGACAGGGGAAGTCGAGGGGCAGAGATCGGGTTTCAACCACGGACCATCCGGTCAGTCAATTCGCGCTCTAGCCACTGAGCCATCTCGCCCCAATTATGTGCAGATTATCAACCGTGTCTGACCAGCACAAATTTTCAGCATAAACGCCCACACCTTGTAAACTGACGGCCACAGAGTGCAAATCAACCGTGGACCCGAAGGGATCACGTGGATATCGTCCAGCGGTGAAGAGTCACCACTCAAGATTGACGTTCTTTCTGGGACACCACTTGGTTCCGATCACGCCACACTGCGAACAAGCCTAACAGTTCGCTCACCTTCAGGCCGTCGCAAGACAGCAAGAAACATGCCAACCCACCTTCTTCGGAGATCTACCATAGCTCAGCAGTATCGATATGAGCTAGCTCAACTACGATCAAAAGCAAACCAATACAATAGAGGATAAAGCATGGCAAAATGTGAAAGGAGCTATCCTGGTGGTGTTCAGTACTGTCTTTTCGATTTCTCCGATTCGACCACAGAAGAAGACATTGTCAACATCTCTAATCATGACTAATGCTAGGAAATTCGTAGCAACGGGAAACTAGTACGACGGCGAACGCAAGTAGTGAAAAGCCTATGAAAAGACCCAGAGCTCTGGTAGCCATTGAAAGCTCGGGAGGTGGAGAAGGCCTTTGCTACCGGAAAAAGCCGCGCCCTCTAAGAAAACAATCATCAGTGAAACGATGAGTGAAAGTGACTCAACAATTCATTGGCAAATACGTTGACTGGAAAGATGCGCCGGACACTTCAAAGAATAGTTAAGCTGACCTCTTATGACACCCTCTCGAGATAGTGCATACAGGAGAGAAGAAGGTAAACCTTAATCGCCCGTCGGAAGAAATAAAATATGAAATATCCGTACTGAAATGTGAGAAGGCACCAGGACCGACGGCCTGTATCCAGCCCTCTTCAAAGAAGGCGGAGAACCTCTGGTGACCCGTCTGACAAACCTAATTGGTGCTCTATGGAACGAAGAAAAGGTGCCTGCATGTCGACAGTTATCCCTATCTTCGAGAAGGGTACGTGGACGCTGTGTGAAAATCACCGTGGTATCAGCCTGTGATATCGAAGTGCGCCCGGTGAGCCCGCTCACAGATATCGAGTACGCAGACGACAGCTCTTCTTGGATCTGATCCCGTGGTAATGCAATATTAAACAATCTAAATAATTCCGCCTCATTGTTTGGCATGCGCTTCACAGCTGCAAAGTGTAAAGTGCTACTGCGAGACCGGGTGGGCTCGAACCCTAGCCTCAGGCTTGCAGATAGACCGAGTGAGGTAGTAGGCAAATTTGTTTACCTGGGCAGCTGTATCAGTCCCGGTGGTCACACGAAATATGACATTTCCATCCGGATTGGGAGGGCCAGAGCAGCTTGTGTGAACCTGCGTCATCTGTGAAATCAATTATTCCCTTCTTCAAAAAGAGTAAGTGGATGCTGTATGAAAACCACCGGGGCATCAGTCTAGCATCGAAAGTGCTCTCCGATCTCATCCCGCACGGGTTGACTGAACAGACAGAGAGGAAGATCCGTGAAAACCAAGCTGGCTTCGTCGTGTAAGAGGATGGATCGGCTATATATTCACTGGAACGGCGGCACTGCTTCCAGCAACCAACAATAATGGTTTTTCTTCACTACAAAGCTGCCTTCGATTGTGTGGACTGCCAGGCACCATGGAGCAGCTGTGTCTCCAATAAATTCTTGGCCCGCTCAAGGTGCTGTACGCCAACATCGGTTGACAGCCGAGGATTTACGGCAAACTCTCGGGTTCACATAATTAAGCAGCGCCAAGAAAGGCTGTCTGCTTCGACTTTTCCCCTTCAAATTCCTCATAGACTCACGCACGCAAGACTCATTTCCAGCCTCTAATGTCTGTGTGGTCGAAACGCTCCCAGGGCGTCTGCACACACATTTCACGTAAGCAGAATACATCGGTTTTTCCCGAATCTGACGACATCGCAATGCAAGCTGTATTGGAAAAACTAAATAATTCCGCCTCGTGGTGTGACATGCCCTTCACACCTGCAAAGTTTAGGGTGCGGCAGCAAGGTCGGATGGACTCAGACGCACACTTCATGCCTTCAGATGAGCCTATGGAGGTATTGAACGAATCCAACCATCTGGGCAGCTGTGTCAATCTCGATGGTCCAGATGAAGACGATATTTTCATCCGAACTGAGAAGGCCCGAGTTTTTATAAACCTGAATCACCTGTGGCGCACGCAGGGCAGCTGCCTACATGTCAAGGGTCGAATTTACAGTGTTGCGGTGCGTTCGGCATTGGTAAGTCAGAAATTAGGCCGCCACGTGCCGATCACACTCCAAAGATTGTGCTTGCTCGGTTGCGTTCAGCGCACGCCAGTCGACCGATTTCCTCAGTCATTTTCGCACAAACACGATAAGGGTGAAAAAAGCCGAGGCAGTTCAAGCAACGGCCTGGCAGCGAAGCATGAAGGTCATTACAAGTATACTCAGCCGCGCTGGTCATTGGAATCTGCCTGAATGGAGACCCGAAGACTGGAAGCACCAATGTTTGATATTACTGACAGCCACGATCCAGCGGCACGCATGTCCGATCTTTTGCCACCAATGCACAGATTTTCCTCCCATGCTTTCAAATGAAGGGCCCATTGGCACTGCTGTGTTCACGCATCGATTGCATCCGAGTGAATCAGGTGTAGATAATCTTAATGTACTTCCAAATTCGAGCAGTCATTAATAACCGCCGATAACGCCTCGTTAGGACCGTGGATCACTGTCATTGCAACTAGAAAACAAATCTGTTAAAATCTAGAAAATTAGGTTCGATGTGACTATGATAGCTATCGACGTCATAGACTGAACGGAGACCCACACGTATGTTGTAAAACCGCGAAGCCCGTCCTCGATTTTGACATACTAAGGTTCGGTACACATCTCAGAAAAGTCCACAGACAGGGAGATCGCTCCCAGTGTTACTTCGAAACACGGAAGAAGTTTACGACAAGTACAGAGACACGAAACCAACATGACAATTGTCTCGATATGTGAAGCTGACAGTTCAGTCCGGGACAACGTCGATGTATCGGCGTACAACCCCTCATCGGCGAATTAGAACAATTAACACCATTCCAACCATTTTACTAACAAAAATGATGCAGACAACTTTGCATTGGTTCGCATTTCGAAAAGCAGGCTTATAATCCAGCTTCTATGTAGGTCACTCTCCTTGAACAAGACGTTATTGAAGACGACGTTGTCAGTAACAGAGTTACATGGCCGGACCAGGCAGTATCGATTTCTTCGTATTCTGGAAACTAGCGACATTCCCTTCTTCTCTAAATAGGGTCAGCTCGCGATCTCACCGGGCGGTTGAGACCGTCAGCCAACTATGCGCATCTGGCAGCAAACGATTTCCGGAGAACCATCAACCGGTTCGTTTGGCTTGCAACACCAAACACAGTCGTAACTGGTGGAGTGCAATAACGTTTGGTAAAAATTGTACTTCTCTATCCGCTGGAACTGCTCCAGAAATTTCGGGGTCACAGAACGACTAGGCAAAGCAAGCCCCCAAGAGACGACATACATATAAGCTTCATCGGATATAGTAACCGCTCCGAAAGTTATGCACTTACGTTTGTCAAGGAAGCTGTGTACATAGGATTGTGTGATAGTGCTGATAGGATAGTTACTTTCAGTCAAAGATGTCAGTTGTGCACAACCAGCTTCTTACAGCGGTATTTTGCAAAGGTCTATCTCTAGTCCAATATTTTCGACCTACGGTAATGATCTGTCTGAAATCATAGAGTTCACGTTTGGCCTGTGCGGATAACATTAAGGTGCTGTGAGTGAGTCACCCACACATAACTTGAGCTGTCCTGTGGAGGGTGGTCAGAAAAGTGAATGCTGCTTAAAAATGTGGATAAAAACGCGTGGCTGTATATCGGTAGCGACTTAGGTCAACGCCTTCCATCCTGAGTGTACGCAGCTAAAAGTACCGTGGCGCAAAAGAGATCTATGTGCATGAAATGGTCCCATGGTTAAAGTGCAAAATTATTGCCTATATGTCGAACCCGGTTGCTCCCGTTTGAGCTTTCGAAAATTAACAGTATTTCAGTGCTCGTACCTTCTTCAGATACCATGGCAGCTATCCACCGAAAGGTTGCAACAGCTGAATGACTATTTGTTCATTTTTACAGCGCCTTCAAGACAGCCACCGTATAAATCGGGCCTTTACGTCGGTCTGTGTGCATGGGACGTTCAAAAAGTCCACATAAACGACTTTTCTCCATACAGTACACGAGCGCCCGTGTTTGGATAATGATGGATGCATAGCATATCCCTGTACGTCAAGCGATTTGCAAGACAGAGTGCGCAGGACAGGGCTACAGTTCGCCTGGCAGGTTGCCATGAGGGAGTGAGTTCCTGGATCCACTCTCCCAGTATTACAACGACCCTAATAAACTTATTAGGGTCCTATGACTCTATCCCAGAGCTGTGAGCCGTCATGCCGCGAAGGGGACTCTGAAAGCAGTATCGCATTCAAAAACCCTTTGATTCTAGGGTTATCACGAGGGGTTGTTAATATCTGTCTGTTTGCTGTTAGTGGAAATCTGAAGTGGGAATTTTCAAATACGGAGTAGAATAACACCTGGAGTGTGACACCGGCCTCGGTGCAAACAACCGACAAATGGTGAACCAGGGGACAAGGCTGCAATGGGTTCTCCAACTACTGTTTGTAATCTGAATAACACCCGAGGAAGCGCATCTGTTGCATTTCAAGGTTGACACAAATGCAGTGGAACAAACAGCCTTGGGGTAGGAAATATTTATTGTAGTGAATGCAGGAAAATAATCACATAGAGTACGGACAAAATGAGCAATCAAGTTCGAACATTGGAATACAAAACTGCAATGGTATAAAAATCAACTAGTTTGAAAACATTTCCGCACCTGTTGACCAAAAGAGTGTTACACGCTTGACTAAGCAGTATCGCGTGTGCCCTTCCGAAGTACCACAACAGGTCACTGTGTCCCACCGTGGCTCTGGAAGAATTACCGCCGCCGGATGTTCTACCAGTTTTAGAACTGCGGGGATGTTATCCTTGGAAAGCGCGGGAAAACTACATTTCATAACAAGATTCTCAGGCAAACCCAAAACCAATGTGTTGAACTTTTCTGTGAACCAACAGTGGTTCTCTAATTGCATAGCATCTTCTGTCAAACAAAGAATCACGGAATTACCCGAAAAAATTGCTTGCAGAACCGTATGGAACAAAAATGTAATAAATTGCGAGTTCTCACTATGGTTCTCTCTCAAGAAAATTGCAACTGGTCCACAAGGTTTCATCCACTGTCGAGCAATAATCAATCCACCTTCGTTTGTCTGTTTGCTGTCCAGAAGTCCAAAACGATCATCGCAGCTCAGTAATGAAGGTGACGTAACAACAAATGATTTCCAAGCCTTTCTGGCTATACTAGTGAATAGGTCATTACCGAGAAAATTGCCAAGAACCTTTCTTCTAATGTTGGCAAAACTCTGTGAGGACCAACTGTTTTGCACTCTGTTTGACACGGAAAGTAGGTTTGTTAAACTCAATGCCATTTTCGAGTCATCAGTACTTGCAGTGAGGCCAGGAAAAGAATATGGAGAACCAAAATCATCACAGTCCACTATACCTTTGTACAAGGCAGACACCATCCTATCGCTTGAAGCATTGATAAATATACTTTGAATTCCAGAAGAGCTAACTGTGTCTGCCAACTGCCAACACAACGCCGGTGAATTCAGCCAAATATTTATGCTGATAGATAAATGTCCGTGCGAATTTAACAGTTCTCCTTGAGTGTAACGAACTTGGTTGCTGAAGTGGTTTACAATCGAACACACCTCTTTCGCTGTTCGGAATCTAATGATATGTCCGATGGGCGCAGTACCCCATTGAAGGTCACTAGAGAGGGCTGATGGGGGAACGTTATAAAGGAACCGTGGAAGTTTATTTTGTGATGTAAGCACGATTGCGCCAAACTTGCTTTTCAACTCCTCTATGTAAGTGAGTGTTTCTTTGGAATGTAGCTGTCCCTGAGACGCTTCTTCGGTTGCATCATCACCGCACACTTCAACGGCCAAATGCAACACGTGTCGCAACTTTTCCAAGAATTTTAACTCGACGCTCTCTTCTACTAATATGATTGACGAGTGCCAAAAGCATACATCATGGTGCTTGACCAAACCAAGACACTGTCTAGCGGCCGAGTCTATGTCGGCAGAATCAAAGATAATAGGAATAACATAACCTGGACAACTGAACTCAGATGTTCTCGTAGATGGTAAAAAGCTGTATAGATTGACGGGTGGAGAACATTCAGCAATTATATCAGACAAAACATAAAGAGGGAGCACGAGTTTCTGGGAGTAACATATCACAACAATCCCAGTACTGGTTCCATTGTGGCATGGGTTGGACAGCATACCCAAAATTGTAGTCACATGGTATAAGATATCGCAGTCTGAACTGCTGACAACATGAAGGGGGCTTAAAGAACGTTTCGAATCTTCGTTTGGAAACTCAAGATTTGATTTACAAGTCTCTAGCACAGTTTCCAACACTTTAGAGAAGAAAATCGGCGAAAACTGGCACGCCGAGCCACATGACGCTGCTGCATGCTGGATTTGAGAAGAACGTATCTGCAGTATTTTCCGTAATCTCTCGAAAAATTCAAGCAGTTCATCTATATTGCAGCTGAACTCCGAAGCCATAGAAATTGTCTTCTTCAGTTGGCTTTCACTTTCTACAATTTTTACTGAGTCATTCCCAAGAAAGACTTCTGAGAACTCCGAATCTTCTGGGTGGTTGAAGGTATTTTCATAATACGGCCTCACCAGTGCCCCGTGCACTGCTAGAAAGTTTTTCAGATCTTTGAGATCATTTTCCATAATCGTTCGAGGTAGCTGCAACGTCGCGGAGAACCGCTTGGGCATCTTATACTGTACGACGAATCGTGCGCCTCACTAAAGGTCAAAGGCTCCACAGATTGTATCCAATGGTCCTCAAGGCCAAAATCTAGTGGGACACTGAGCGATACGCACATCGAAAGAAAATCTGGCAGACTATGATCATCGAGTATGTTGTATAAAGTCAGATACACTGTGACGGGGGGAAGCTCCCGAAAGCAGGCCGACGAAACCAGCTGCTTCTCCGGACAGCAGTTTTGATTCGACCACCACAGGCCTCTCGCCCACCAAAGACACGGATTGACACACAGGGTCGAGGCTTTTGCCCAAGTCTCCCGGGTCGGTTTTGTTCTTGTCGGTCAGTGGCTGTCGTTCACCTGAAAGGCACAAGTGAAAAAAGGGTGTAGCACTGCTCTTTATG